TACCCATATTTTATAGATGAAGAAACTGAGGCTCACAGGGGTGAACTAACTTGCCAACAAGTGGCAGGGCTGGGGTGGGAGCAGGTTTAACTCCTCCAGGACCCCTGCTATGAATCAGATGCTGAACAACAAAGGTCCTCCCCATATGACCTTCTGTAGTTTTTGTGCCCTCCTCCCGTGGCCACGGTGCTTAGATGTGCTGGCCTAGTCCGAGGCTTCCTCCTTGGATGCTGGAGCTAGGAACAGTCACTGCGGGAATGCCTGCATGTTCTGCGGTTCAGGAGGCCGCTTTCACTTTTTACCTGTAGATTGTCTTTGTCCAACTGAACTGAAAAATGCCATCGCCAACAACATTTACTGCGGGCTGGCAATGTGGCACTCCTGAGTGAGGTTCGGAGTTAGGAGACAAGTATGCCCAGAGTTCCCAGGGTTCATGCCTCATGGGGGACATGAATGTAAGTATTTATTGAGCCCTATCTGTGAGCCAGACTCTGTGTTAGGCCCTGGGGACACAAAGATGAACAAAATACAACATACTGTGATGCAGGCTCCACCTGGGGTGCACACAGGGTAAACTGGGGCCCATAAGAAAGGCACCTGACCCGGTTGGGCGGGAGTGGAAATGATCAGAGAAGCCTCCCAAAGGAAGTGGCATTTCAAAGCGACATACTATTATATCGTCTGCACTGCTCAAGAGTTTGTATATATCGTCTCTAATTCTCACAGCAACAATCCAATCGGGCAGACACTAATTATTTTATAGATAAGGTATTGAGTAACTTGCACAAAGAATCATAGCGGTAAGTGGCAGAGCCAGACTCTGATCCCAGGAGCTCTGACTCCAAGCTTACCAGACTCAAAAGTTTGTGCTCTGTGAGAACACTGTGCCACAAGCTATGATGGAGGAAGAAACACCACACCGTGAAGGCAGAGAACAGGAAAGGGCACCTGACCAGGCCATCCGGAGGGTATCGTGGAGGAGGTAAGACTTGAGTGAGTCATGGTAGAATGCTTCAGGGCAGGTTGGCACAGGCTCTTTCATTATTCTAGTGAGTCCTCTGGGTGATGAGCAGGAAGCAACACTCGAAGGGGTCAAGGCCATCTTCCGAGCAGTCCAGGGGATGGGGTAACCTTTTTTTTGGGGGGGGCCAGGAGGTAAAGTGAAGGTGAGAAGTCGCCTCTGGTTATAGGAAACAGAACCTGATGCATACCAATTTGAGCAAAGAAAAAGAAAAACAAGCGAGAAAAGGGAGTACAGTTGACCCTTGAACAATATGAGTGTGAGTGTGAGCTGTATAAAGCCACTTACGTGCGAATTTGTTCCAGTAAATACTGTACTGATCTACGGTTAGGAGTCCATGGATGTGGAGGGCCAACTGTGTGCACTGATCTACCCTATGTTATGCAGGAGACTTGAGCATCTTCGGATTTTGGTATTTGCAGGGGTCCTGGAACAAATCCCCCAAGGATACTGAGAGACAACTAAGTGTTCAGGGAGCCAAAAGTTACACATCGATCTTCGATGGCAAGGCACCCTCATCTTGTTCAAGAGTCAACTGTATTCTGTTTAAGCTTTCAGGCATTTTGTAGAACCCAAGGGCTAGAAATGTCCTGCGACCACCGGAGGGCTGGCTAGAGACAGGACATGCACACTGGCCAGGAGGAGCTGCCTTCTCGGCCCTGCCTGTTTCTGTCCAGTGTCGACCTCGCCCTTTTCTCTCTGCTGTCTGACTTCCACTGACTCTCGGGAGCAGGGAAAAGAGGCCTCCAAACACATTCTCAGATCGAACAGCTCTGATCTGCAATTCTAAATCCCAGGAGAATCTGATTTGTTCCCCTTGGGCCACCCAGCTATGGCCAGGGAGCGACGGCGTGCATTCTCAGAGAAGGCAGGGTTTGGGCTGCAAAGACCCCCCGAGATCAAGCCAGAGAATTCTGGAGAGATAGCTAACTCTAAATATTGTCAGAACCCACACTCTGGAGGGCAGGTGCTGAGAGGTCGTTTTTCCTTTCTCCCTCTGCCCTTTAATACATTGGCTTCCACATTTATAATTCTTCTGTGGAGTTATTAAATCCATAAATACAGATTTAATCTTTTAAGCTCTGCATTGTGAGAGCAGAAGAGGAGACAGAGAGCTTCCCAGCCCTGGTGGTAGGAGTAGCAAAGGAAGCAGCTTGCAGGCTCCTGGGGCAGAAGAGCCAGGAGAAGCTGCAGCTGCTGCTGGGGGCCAAGAGGAGAGGGACTGGCCCTGCTCTCTGGCGGAAAGACCACTCCCTGGCCAGAGACCACATGCCGAAGCAGCCATGGAGGGCTGCACAGCAGGTCCTAAAGAGACCTGTCCTGAAGGCTGGGAGAAACACCAGGACAGTCCCAACAACTTTCAAAACAAGCATGTCTGACCTAAACCAGGTAGAGAGATGGGGGTGGGGGGGAGGGCATAGAAAGGAGGTACTCCCAGGAGCCTCAGGGAAGGGGTGCCTATCTAAGGAGAAGGATCGAGAAGGGATCCAGAAAACGTGAGACTGGAGAAGGAGGAAGAGGGACAGAGCTCTGGTTCCTGTTTAGCTCAGAGCCAATCCCAGAGGAAGCCCTGACAGCTGAATCAACAACTTCATTCCTTACCCCTCGGCCCCGTCCCTCTCCACCATCCAGGGCTCCCACAACATTGGCTCAGGTTCTGTGCTGAAAATGACAAGATGGACACTTTGGTGTCCCTGGCCTGGCGGACACGAAGACCAGCACCAGGGAGGAGAGGATGTTGATAAAAAGAAGAGCGTTCGGAAGTCAGGGTGGGAAACTGGGGGCCAGAGTACGGGTAAGGGGAACCCTCGTGATGGAAAGGTAACATCCGGACCAATGATCTGGCACAGGGCTGTCCCCACAGCAGCAGCCCCTCCTGCCTCCTGATGCTGTTGCCACGTCCCCATCCTGGCTGTTACCGTCTTAGGGCCAGGAGTTAGGGGTAGATGAGGGACTTCGCTCTGGGCTTTTGGCCCCTCCTTCCCCCATGAGGGCCTCTTGCTTTCCACTGCCTTTTGTTCAACCCAAACCAGAGGTCATAACCTGTTTCCGCCAAGGGATGGGTTATGGAGGGTGTGAGAAGGAGGGGTGAGGCTGGTTTTGGATGATAGGATTCAGCTACCGAGGCTCTCTCTTTGAGCAGCAGATATGAATTTGGACAGTTCACTGGATCCACCCACACAGTTCCACTCACCTTCCAAAACGCTTCCAAAATAGCACCAGCTTTTGTACAGGAGCCAAAAAGAAAAACGGCGAAAAGTAATAAATGACAAGGCCCCAGGGATTTCTGCCCTTCCAAAAGTCTGAGCGAAGTTTGCTAAAGAAATGTTAAGCCCAGGAGGAAAAAAAAAAAAAAAAAGCTGCATTTCCCTTTCTCACTAAGGAATGAGGCAAAGATGCCACAAAGACAGGCACACACGTGTGCGGCAAAAGGACCCGGCTTTTACACTCACACTTAAGTCACTGACACAGTCCTGCAGCTATTCCTTCCACAGAGTCGTCAAACGCCGTTCCTGATGTTTGATGCTGTATCAAGATAACTGACAGACACGGCCCCACCCGTCAGTGGCTTCCAGTCAGGCACTAACACACGGTGCCACACTAGCAGGGAGACACGCTCCCGCCAAGTGCGCACGCGCACGCGCACGCACACACAGTGCCGCGCTGCCACCCCGCGTCCAGGCCTGGACCCCTCTCTCCAGGCCCCACCGAGACCTCCCCCCGCCGTCCACGCCCCGCGGCCCTGCAGCCAGATGTTCCGTGGGCAGACGGGCGGTGGCCAGCCCCACATTAGGAGAGAACCCAATGGGCAACAGCCCCCGCCCCACCGGGCTCCTACGATAGCGCTTTTGTGGGGTGCTCCGCTGCCTTGCTTCTTCCTCACCCACCTAGGTTAGGAGCAGCTAGCTCTGCCTGAGGAGAGAAGACAGAGGAGGCTCACGGGGCCCCGGCTGGTCCACCCCACCCTGGGGGCGGACGGTTGTACTGTGGAGAGAAGGCTGCGTTCCTTCCCCTGCCCCCTTGGGTAAGTCACCATGTAGACTCCCAGGGCGGCCTGAGGTCAACTTCCCCATAAAAGCAGTGGGTCTGGTCCGTCAGACAGCCGTGCTCCCAAGTGCTGGACCCGGGGATGAGGCTGGGGTGGGGCCTGGTACAGAACTCGGCAGATTCCTAGGGACTGGAGTCCAAAACCTAGGGTTTCCCCCTTCTGGTCCCCTCTCCCTTCCCAGATGGTCTTCGGCCATTCCAAACCAGAGGCCAGGGGACCAGGCAAGAAAGGGTTAAGTTTCCAGGATTCTTGGACAGACTTCTACCAGGTTCCAGGCCTGGGGTGGGTAGGTGGGGGTGATGAGGGTGGAGAGAGAGAGGAATGTGTTGGGAAACTGGGAGGACTAAAGTCTGAGACTGGTCACTGCCCCTCCTCCTTGCCCAAACCGCAGACGCTGTGGCAGCAGGAAAATCAGAGAGGTTGAGACCAAGCACGATTGTGCAACCTGGCCCTGGGGACCAGCCTTGTGCTGGAGATGGGAGTGGGGCTGGGGCGTAGGGGCAGAGCCCACTTTAGAGGTGAGACTTAAAGTTCTTACTGAAAACACGTGCTTTTGGGGCTCTGGCTTCCACGCTAGACTTCAATGCGACTAAAATCCATTTTCTGGTTCCAAACCTCAGAGAACTGGAATTGGAAGTTCTTCCCCTCCCAGAACCACCCATAGTGCCACTGGTGGTTCTGGGAGGGCTGAAGATGCCCATGGGTGTGGAGGGAGGCCCTTAGCCCAGCCTCCTAAAGTGGCGGGATCCTGCTGCTTCCCCAGGCGCCTCACAGTCAAATCTGTAACTGGAGAAGTTCCTTCTCCCTCAGCCAGGGAGTCCAGCCAAGTCCCTAGTATGGCATACAGAGTAGGGTTGGGGTGGAGGAGGGAGATGGAGGGTCATGGGGCAACATTCATCTGAGGGCTGCCCCAAACAAACACAGGCGAGGAGCAGTGGATTTTCCTTTTAATGCAAAATGTTGCAATACAAAACGAGGTGGAAAAAGCCCCATTCTTTAGGCCACTCAAGGGAGAAGGGCAAGAGGGCAGAGTTAAAAGTCTCCTTCTCCTACTACTCTTCTCTCCTCTGACTCGAACTGACGCAAGAAATACTCCGTTGCCTGTTGACAGGGGTTGCCCCCATCCGAGGGTCAGAGCTCTGGGTCTGGGTCGTCTTTGCCTGGCCTGAAATGTGTTGACCTGGGGCAGGAGAAAAGGAGTGAATCTTTAGGGATTTCTCTCTCTTAGCTCTAAAAGGATAACTCAGGATCCAGAGTCCCATACGAAATGAAAGAGCCATGAGAATTTGGTTTCCATTGGCTACAAATACAGTCCAGGATTTGAACCACGACTTGCCCACATGTGGAGAACGAGGAGCAGGAAATTTAGTGGGGGAGGAGAGAGATTCAAAACACAAGGCTACCTCCTCAAACTTCTTCCTCTTTCCTCCTCATCTCCAGCTTATAGACAATCTGGTAGCCATCATCCCAGGCGTAGAGCTGGCGCTCCCGGGGGTTATAGCGGAGGCTGGCATGGGCACCATATCGGCGTGGGAAATAAGGGAGTGCTGCCCTTTCAGGGGTCAGGGTGCCGCTGGCATCAAAGGAGCACTGGATGCGGGCCCGACTGGCAGGGCGGGTGTTATAGACGACGTAGAGGGTCCCACAGATGACAAAGGCGGCCTCAGCGTTCTCTCTGGGACATGGTGTGTCCCACTGCTGCTCGGTGTCCAGTGTCTGTGGGTCTAACTTGGCCAGACACAAGTGCCTGTCATCCTCCCGGGTGGCATAGACAGCCCAAAGACCCTCCTCATCAGCGGCCAGGTCAATGTAGGTGTCTGATGTCAGCCCATATGGGGGGATCAAACCCTCCGCTGGGAACACGGAGCTGTCCACCACTGTTCGGTTTGTCAGGTGGAATTTGATGAGCTGCAAAGTGTTCTCCAACTCGCCACCCCCTCCAGGTCCTCCAGGAGGCCTCCGGGCGTAATAAAGAAAGCCGCCATATACCAGCTGCCCTGTGCCTACCCAGGGGAAGGGCACCCGGATTCGGGAAGCTTTCCGGGCAGCCATGGCGAGAGTGAAGTCACGCAGCCTTGGGAAGACGAAGGCTGTGTCATTCTGTGTCCCATCTAACACGTAGATCTTCTCTGTGGGCCCCAATGGATCCTTGGTCCATAGACCAGCTGGGCCACCAAACCGCTTCAGAATCTTCATTGATCTCACCTGAGAGATGGTGTAGCCACAGTCTGGTAGGGGAGGAGAAAAGCACAGGACAACGAAATACAAGCAAGAGTTAAATGCCCACAACAGGAAGCCCCTCCAGGTGGGCCATTGGGAAAACAGTGGGCATTTGCCCGGTAGATGCTGCTACTCTTACGGAGGATTGGGAAAAAGGGCACCGCTGGGGCCTGGGGCCCCAGAAACTCTCCTTAATGGACCTGTCATTACAGAGATTGCCCTAAAACAGATTCCAGAAGATAGAGCCAAAGTGGACCGGGACAAGAAAAAGGGGAAAGAACCAAGGAAGATCGCGGGTTCTGAGTCAGAGGGGCCAGCTTTCAGAGCACTTACCTGTCACCATATCGTACTTCTCATTTCTCCTGCCCTTGCCTTTGGTCCCCGAGCCTGCAGTCGCCTTCTCATCAACTTCTACACAGGGCAGAGCTGGGTTCTGGGTCTCCAGATAGTCAACCTCCCGCTCCAGACGGTCCACTCTCCCTGAGATGGTGTCAGCCTCAGTTCTGAGGGCCTCCCGCTCCTTCTCGGCCACCTCCAGCAGTGGCAGCATCTTGTTCTTGAAGTCTCGAAGCTCAGCAGCCTGCCGGCTGCTCTGGTCTTGGCACTGGGCCAGCCGTTCCTGAAGGAGTGGTGGAGGGGAGGGAGGGCTGCAGAGTTACAATCCCAGGCGGAGAGAGGCCCAAGCAGGAGTCAGGAATGGAGAAAAGCACACACTCGGCCAGGCAGCAACACCCCCTTCAACCTCCGCAGAAAGGAAACCAGATGTTCAGAGATGCTAAATGTGCAGAAGCCCAGCTCGGGTTCACCTAGGCCCTTACCCCACTATGTGTCCCCCTGGCCTTCGTTCTTTGTGAGCAGTGCCACTGAGTCACTGAGCCTCCAGGGCGGTCTAAGTGCATGCGGGTGGGAAGGGGTCTCTGCTCCATTCTACAGTTCTGGGAATTAAGATGCTACAGACCTCAAAAAGGCAGAAAGTTGCAGATCCTCTTCCAACTTTTAACAGAATCATCATCTTGTCCTGAGATGCATCCCTACAATCCTAGCCCTCCTGTCTACTACGTCCCCTTATTCTATCTAATCCCAGGGGTAAAACACAAAGGTCTGAATTGCTCTCTGTATGTGGGGAAGAAGGCTTACAATTTGGAAGACCATCTTATTAAAAGACGGAGTTTTCTGCAGGTTCTCACGGAGCCCTATCTTGTCATCCCCAGATGCCTGACAAACTGGGAGATGTGGAGTCCCGCTGGGCTGGACTAGAAGAGGAAAGAGTCGCTCACCTCTAGGGCGGCTAGTCGGCGTTCCATGTACTCCACCAGGTGGTGCTGCTGTCCCCGAAGGGGTCCCGACCAGGACAAAAGGAGCAAGACGAGGAGAGGAGCGCAGGGTCCCATGGCAGCGGGGCAGGAGGGCCAGGAGGGCCACGGTCGGAGTGGGCAGTCGTGTGCAGGCGCCTCTCCCACTGAAGCCCGCGGGTTGGCTCTGGAGGCGGGGTGGGGGCGGGGCTTCCCCCCTTTCTGGATCTCGGGTCTCTCTCACTACTCTGGAATGCTTTCAGTCTCTTCACAGTCCCCACCCCCTCCTTTCCGCCTGGATTGATCAAACACAGATGGCCCTACTGCAGAGCAGCCAGAAGCCTTAACCACCTCTCGCCTAGGCTGTAGGCTCCCCAGGAGAGGAGAAGGAGATGGAAACCCTAGGGCAGAGCCTTCTGGGCCAGGGAAAGGAGCTAGCGAGGGGAGGCAGAGAGCTGGGAAAACTCAGCGAACGCTGTTCCCGTGTTTTAGAATGCTTCCAGCGCTGACTTAAGAAATAGTCTTCATTAATCCTCCTCTTTCCCAGCCATAACAGCATGGATTATTTTCCGCCTTGTTCAGTGGAAGCTAAAAGCAGAGAAGATGAAGTTTGAGGGGAAGAGGTGCGGGGAGGGGGCGGGCGGGAGGCGGAGGAAGCCCGTAGTGGTCAAGTCTGTACCTCCTTCTTTAGCTCGCTGGCGCCATCTTGTGCTAAACACCAGGTGTCGTCTCAGGATTCACAGGGAAACCAAGGCTTAGACTTCACTTTGCGTGGAATTTTCCACAAAGCAAGCCAAGCAGACCGAATTTACAGGGGTTTTCATCATTAAAATGCAGCTTTCCCCACAGACTATCCAATTACTTAACGGGATATCCCAATCTCTCTGATTTAGCCTAAAGAAGAGAATATAACAGTTAAAACAATTTGAAAAACAAAACAAAAACAAGTCACTGAGAAACTAATAAATTGATTCTTGATTACCTGGAAGTGAAACTAATAGCAGAGCCTTTCTATGTGGCTTTCCTTTGCCTGAAAGCTTCTAGTTATATCCCCTTACCAAAACTGGGGAGTGTTCAGCAAGTTTACGCAATTTTACATTTATTTATCCAGGAAAAATTTTTTGAAAACTATGTGTGTTGCAGTCTAAGTCAAAATAGACATATTCTGACTTCTCTACGAATGTGAGAGAACAGACTATTGACAATTTCTCTTGGTTATGTTCTAAAAGGGTGTTTCTAAATGTTTCCCCAATTCTATATCCCAACTGTGACTGCAGGAGCCCCATGTGAATTAACGGCCACTGTAGGGTAAACACGTGTGTCAAAAGAAGTCAAACAAATTAACCTAGATACAAATCTAATTCTTTATCCAGAGAAATTTTATTCACTTCAGAACCAAGAGAAATCTGATCAGAAGTGCTCATCTCTGAAAAGGAGTATGCTTCTAACAGTGCAGTTTGAAAGGAGGGAAAAATAGCATCTTGTGATTCTTATTTTTTATTCTGCCACTTTAGATGTTTGGTGGAACATGCTAGGAAACAAAGTTTAGTTAGCCTGTGACAGAAGTTTCTGCCTCTCTGAAAAGAAAGGCCAGATCCAGATAATCTTAAGTTAGGGCCCTGGCCATGCCACTCTTGGGAAGTATTCCCTACCAACTCCTATGCATTTCTGTTGTGGAAGTTTGTATGAAGAATGAATCGGTCTCTAATATAGTCTACTGATGTTCAAATGCAGTGTATTCAGCCACTCCAAAGATGCCATTTGTTAGTCCCCTTTTTACCCCATAACAGAAGTCAAAAACAGCCACATGAATCAGAAAATTTACCCATTTTATTGATGCATTGCAATTGCTCTACATTTTACCATATTATGTAGAAAATACTGAAAATACAAGCTACTTTGTAAAACCAAAGACAAACATTGAATCCAAAGATAAACTATGTTTTACACAATGGACCCTTTTCCCATAGTTAGTATTAAATTTTAAATATCTATTTATTTTGTTAAAATGATTATTTTACATACTTCCTAAATACATCTGCATTACAAACATAGCTCAGTAATTCTCAGAAACTGTTTCTAGAGGCTTGTTGTAAAAAGAAGCGCACAACCAGAAAAGGGAGAAAGCAAAGTTTAAAACACACACAATAACTAGCATATCAAATACATTTAATAAAGTTGGAATTCTGTTGCAATATCAAGGATTCAAAGCAGAATTACTAACATTACATATAATGTACATATAATGTACTGCTACATGTAGTGAGATTATTTTTCAAGCTGGATCAAAACCACACATTATATAGTTTAGCAACAAACAACCATGTAGACATGCTGCACCATCCATCAGTTAGAAAAATCAAAATAGGAAAGCAGCAGGCTTGGGCCATTCCTGTCACTGAGAGGCCATTTCATTTCCGTAAACCATCCTAACCAGTGGGTTTCTGCATAATAATGGTGAATAAAACACACATTACTGTGCCTGCCTGGCTAAGGGCAGTCAAGCTTAGCCCCTCTAGTGGAGGATGATGGATGGCCAGAACTGTTTGGAATGGAATTCTTATTCCTGGGACTGGTGGTGTAGCTGAGCACTGACAGTGGGATTGCTCTTGGGAGCTATTAAAAACTCTGGATTGATCCAGTGTCCTGATGAGCCTGGAGTACTTAACCCTTCCCCACTTTCTCTCTTGCCCTGAAGAGGAGAAGCTGGAAATGCAAGTTCTGAGAGGACTTAAAGACTTAACCCGGTCTGAGGTCAGGCCGTTATGACGCCGGCCAGTTCCTTACTAAATTCCCAGGGCTTCCCTCATCCTGTCAAGGCCTGCAATGTTAAGCCCCAAGGACAGAATCTAAAGCCACATTGAGCACATACACATTCAGCAGTCACAGGTGGACTTTTATCTTGGTAAATGTGAAATGCCAATTTGCAGACTAAGGCTGAAAATCTCTAAAATTCTTATCAAGCCACACACTGCTGCTAGTAAGGTGATTAAGGTGACAATACAAGCTCTTGGTACTGTCCTTTCCCCGTGAAGTGAGGACTCCTATGTTAAATGGTATCTACTCTTGGACTGGGGGCAGGAGTGGAGTGTTTTGTTTTTTTCTTCCTGCATCTTGCTCCTTACAAAAACAATAAATCTTATCCTTTGTACAGGAAAGATAAGGAACAAAAAAATGTTTCCATTAGAAACTACATCAAAGGCAAGAAAATCAGAATGTGCTTGGCAGAAAGGAGACACAAAGACCACACATACTGACCAGGAAACTCTAATGCTATTGACAGAAACTATACAAACTGCTTGGGTATCTTGACCAATATAATGCTGAAAACACAACTCAATATAATGATTAAAAAAAAAAAATCTAGAAAACACTGACAAGTTCCTGATAGGCTGTACTGACTATATGCCCCATCCCGGAAGCCCTTATTCCTCACAATGAGGAAACACCAAATACCCTGACTGCTCCTCGGTGTTCAACCCGGTACAGAGCTTGCTGCCCAGGCTCCATGAAATCTCCCGTCCATCCTGCACCTCCTTGACACCATCTCCACAAAGAACCAGTCCTAGACTTACCCCTCAAATATGTCCTTTCCAACTCAGATGGAACACTTCAACATCTTTAGGGTTAACCTTCTTCCCCCAAATCTTTCATGGGCAGGAACATCCCCATCCCCAGTACCCTCTACTTGACCCAGGTCCATGCAGGAGCTGAGAGCACAAGGACAATTTCACAGTTTGAAGGGCCCCAAGAATATATAAGTTGTTAAAAGGAAACCTCAAAAGCCCCATGACTCAACAGGCTTTGGTTCCTTCTGAATATCCTTCACCGGCTAAGAAACCTTTCTGTTGAGTTCCCTGTCACCAGCGGCATCACAAAACAACTCATAGCATGGGACATAGTAAGCAATACAACAGGCTCTTTGGTATAAACACATGTTTTATCTATCTATATATATATATATAATTTTTTTTTTTAACAAGCAAATATTTTACTGGGAATGTCAACTATTTGCAGGAAGGACTGCCACATGGGAAAAGGAAAAAAAAATCTCATTTTAAAACTGATTGCACATACTTTAAAAAGAAAAGAAAAGAAAAGAAATGCATATTAAATATTGGCTTGACTCCTCTCACCTGCTTTCCGAATTCTCACAGAAGCAGGGTAGCAACGCACAGTGAGAGAGTCACATGGGGAAGATGCTTCTGTGAGAACTCAGCTGAGATGCCAAAATAGAAAGGGGCAGAGGTGGTGGTAAAGGAGAAAAGCTGCTATTTTTATTTTTCAGTGTTGGCAGGGAAACTGAGAACAATGCATTTACACAACACAGCTACTAATCCTGTTCTGATAAATCCCAGTGAACAGTTCACGGTCCACGGGGGCTTGCTGGTCCATCCTAAGGCAAGCTCACTGTAAACTCTATAACCACTACATTGTCATATAAGGCACTACAATAAGGGGAGGAGGAGGAAAGGAAGGAAGAGACACACACTGAACAAATCCTCACCAGACACACCTGTGCAAAACAATCCCAAGGGTCTCCTCTCCTTGCAGGCAATGCCCCTGCTCATTCAGCGCTACAGTAATATGCTCTAATGTAATTGCAATTAGTTCACATACATTCCAACGAGTATCAGTTCATTTTGGTTTAAATACAATGGAGACATCAATTCCATCTCCGGGGTAACACTGGAGGATCGGATACACACTAGATACACAATTCAAGTGTAATCACTACACATTTGATTACAAATAACATCTTGGGTTAGCAGGAAAAATTGCTTGTTATATTTTTCTAATCAATATGTACATATTTAATTATGCAAAATATTAAAACACCACCATTACAAAACTTCTAAAATATTTTTAAATTCAGTAATAAATTTTTAAAATATTTTTTGCAATGCCTACATGCACTTATTGTATAAGTCTTAATAAGAGAGCATTCGATTTGCTGCTGGCATACAAAGGAAGCTACTCTGAAGTATAAAAGCTATACACATGTTCTCATCGGGTTTCAGATTCTCTAGCTTTCTCCTCAAATAAATCACATAGAACAGAAGGGAGAGATGAGGCGAGGAGAAAGAGAGGCATATTATTGAAAATTCATACTAATTTTTAGGCAAAGCTCATCAGTGCCAGATATCGCATAATATAAAGAGATTTTGCATATAGTAAAACCACCACTGCCATACAATAATAACCACCTTAATGGCTTTTCCAATAATAAAATTTAAGCTGAATCAGAGGACTTTTTAAAAAATAATTTCAAAAGAATGCATGGTGCTTTATTTAAAAAGAATACCTGGTGTTTTCGTGGCAGGTATGGATTCTCCCACTAAGTTACCAGCAAATGGCGAGCTGCCTTTTTAAGACTACTTTGTAATAAACACAGAAGCAACTAAGAGAATCCCAAGAGTAACACGGAGCAGTACGCAGTTTTGCAAAAGTAACAATTGCCCAGTAAGTATAATATGACATGAAAACAAAACTAAAACACTATCAGTTTGAATGCCTCATAAACAAAGGTAAAATCTGGAGAAATGCCTGATAGTAAAATAC